GAAGTCAAAAATTACATTACTGCCCTTTTCTATATGTTTGACATGTTTATGATATGTACACAAAACAAGAACAAAACTTCAAAATTACCTTACTATCATTTTCTATATGTTTGACATGTTTATGATATGTACACAAAACAAGGACAATACATACTAATAAGCATAATGTTGCCACATGGACAATAATAATAAACGAGAAAATTCCGTTTTAACTTTTAACGTAACATAATCAATTACCAATTCTTTGTCATCCTTTTCAAAAGTGACATATAACAACATATATTGGAATCGAGAGAACAAAAAATTACACGTTCCATGAAAAGGTCAAAGAAAACTAGAACACAAGAAATGATATAAAAAATCTAACTCATGTTTGCACATTAATTGAACGTTTATATTATTCATTTATTGTTAATTATAATGTATAATAGTTAAATTTGAGGGCAACCTTGGAATATTAAAAGTGCATGAGGGTATATGGGTAAAATCTCATCAAGGATTTATGCCATATTCCAAATCCCACATCAACATGTGGGATTTATAAGTCCGTGGGGTCCACGGATTTGGACCCTTAAAATCCGTGGGTCCCACGGATTTGGTCTCCAAAAAATGTGCAAGCAAACAACGGATTGTACCTAAATCCTTAATAGTTGGTTTTTTGGTACCAAATCCATGTACCAAATCCTTGAAGCAAACGACCCCTTAGTTTTTGTTTGTACTGATTCAAAGTTTCTATTTGGCTTTGGAATGTTTTCCTCATTGAGACCAAACAATGGTATTTATAGGGGTTTGATTGATAAAGAATTGGGAAGAAAGTAAACATGGGGAGAATGGGATATTTCATTTTGGTCATGTGATGGAAATTATTTAATAGTTGTGTTATATATGGAAAACTTTAGCAGGAATAATTTGGAAAATGTATCAGCTTAATTAGAAATTCTATTAAACTTCACAAGAAAATTCGACTCAACTGGTCAAAATAAAATTTAGGTAAATATATTAGAGGTGATAAGAATTTTTTTGAAATGGAAATTTTGTTTTAGCAGGATAATTATATTTGGGCTTGACGGTTGTCCGCATAAATTATATATTAACGACTTAAGACTTCATAAAATTATTATAAGTAGATTCGAGGGAATTTTTTTTAATTATAAGTAGTTAGGGTTAATAGCACTTTATATCTCCCTGTACTGCAAGTTAATAAGCATATTACTCAAACATTTTTTTTATAAATGTATACTTCTATTATAAAAATGCAACAAACGTATTCTTCCATCTAAATTTCTTTTTTTTATAATTAATTGACCAATAAATGACAAAAAAAATAACAGAGTAATAATCAGTGGACCTTAACCGTTAAGGTGATGTTGGTTGTAGTCTTGTAGATGCTATTTTTTTCCTTTTTGCCATAGATAGATTGTAAATCGATAGTTGAGTACAAGAGATTGAAACGAATAACAGTCAATACAAATCGACAAGTAGATGAAAAAGTCTTTTGTGCAATAGACAACTCTATTAATACTCTAATAATAGAGTGAAAAAAACACCAAAAGTCCCATATAAGCTTCACTCGTCAAAACTGAAGCTAACCACTTGTCATCACCCCTGTAGCCTGTAGATGCTATTTTGCTTGAAAAAAATGAGAGGGAAAGAAACTGAAAACAGAGTAACAGACACATCCGTTAACGTACACGTGTCCTGATCTCTGACAACGCCTCCCACCGTGGATTCTCTGCACCTCCCTTATCTGCCGTCCGATCCATCTACCGTCAATTTATCCAGTCCCGTCCTCCAAAACAAAACAAAACAAAAAAGGCATGAGATTTACGGTGACCATCACCGCCAAGTACCACTTTAGCCTTCGTTACTATCGCCTGAACACACAAACTACTGAGATCGTATAGGGTCAAATCTGGTATTTCCCTTGTCCGGCGGCTTTCAACCTCCGGTTACGCAATCGCCTGAAGATTACAAGTTACAACCCAACAGTAAAATATTGGCGGCAGATTTTACGACAAACGAACAGCTTTTTACCGTCCCCTTCCTTTCGACTGCAGATTGAAGGATGGCGATTGTGAATTCAATAATTTGGTAGGCGGCGATGGGAAGAAAGATTGTGAATTTGTGATTGCAGAGAAGAGATGGCCACACAGACGAAGCAAACCGTGGCCAAGGTATAGCTGGGCGGCGGCAGCAATCAAGATGGTTCAAGGATTAAGAAGATCGAGAGCTCTAGCAGATAATTGGCTGATTCCAAGAACAATTCCGTTTCAACTTCTGTACTCATCTCAAATATCCCTCCTTTCCACCCCCCCCCCCCCTCCTTTTTCTCTGTTCAACCGTTTGAGATTCGATTGGTTTGACGATTTCAATCAGTATAACTTTGATTGGTCAGCTGAATCTCGTCTGCTTTTTCCTGGGTTTGAGCTAAATTTCTACCCTTTGAGCTGAGTTCCCCAATTGGTTTATGTTGATCAGGCTTTGTTTGTTTGATAAGTTGTTCGTTCTTGTTGATTCAACTATTTTCGGACTGGTTATAACTTACCCTGTTGTTTATCGAATGTGAAGGTGAAATCAACAATGTCGGGTACATCGAAAGCTGCCACGACTACCAAAACTCTCAGAGTGAAGAAAGCCTTCTCCTTGGCTGGCCAGAAATATGACCCCCCTGAAGAGGTTCTGACTTCTGAGTAGTTTCATGTTCATAACATTCTGTCTTTGTGCTCAGGGTTATGTACGAATTATGCGCAATCATGTTGATTTTGCTTTCACTTCTTTTGCAGAGAGAGCCTGTTAGGATATTCTACGAGTCGTTGTCTGAACAAATTCCGTCTAGTGAAATGGCAGAATTTTGGTATGGTTTCCTTCCATTCTCGTTAGGGATCTTTGTTGAGCCTGAGCCTATTAAATGAATGAAATTTTGAGCTGGATCTCGCTGCTTTTCATTTTCCCACCTAGGAGATGCTTCTGCTTTAATACTTTGGCTCTTGAACAGACTAACTCACTTCAGTTGCTCAAACAAAGTTCAAACTAGTTTAGAGATGTTATTTCTTCCCTTGGCCATTGTAACATCGGAAATTGGCCAGCTGAGGGAAGTTTTCTTGCATTTAAATTGTCTAGTACATCATATGACTCATATGATCACAAATCACAAGTCATCCTTGCCTGATAACTCTCCTACAAGGCGCCTCACTTCTTTAAAGTTTGGAGCTTTTATTAGATGGAGGTGAGACTGATGGATGGTGGGATAGAAATCTATTCATATGTGTTCTTTTTAATTGTGGTTAATCTGTCTTTGCTGCAATTTTTAACTTCCCTCTTTATTTGAGATAGTTCCTCTGTTGGCCTTGATTTATAGTTTCATCATTGTACATTTATATATTTCTTCGCCTTTGTTGATCCGACCTACTGACTGAAAACCATTAAGTTTAAGTTGGCTGATGGTTTGTGCCTTGCACGTTGAGTGAGTTGCTGGTCTTGTTTGCTGTTTTTCTTTCTTGGTATGTTTCATGGTTCTCTTATCTTTCGACTTCTCTTAGTTTTCTCTTTACGAATGCAGAAATGTAGGAACACTTATCCTAAGGAGATACCTAGGACATGATAGAAATGAAATGTAATGTAATTAGATGGGAGTAAAATTCTTGGAAGTATGAGTAATCTGAGGCTAAATTGGTTGAATATGAAGGATGATGGAACATGGACTGCTGTCGCCTGAGAGATCTAAGAAGGCATACGAGAAGAAACAGAGAAAGCAAAAGATGCAACGCATGGGCACTCCCATTAAATCTCCCAAAACGCCAAGCAAACCCGAGAGTTCTTCTCACAGGCAGCAACAAGCATCATCAAACAAAGGTGATATAAAATCCAAGAAAAGACTAGTCGATGACAGTGATGACGACGATAATCTTGTATTAAGTGCCAAAAGGAAGAAAGGGTAAGCACGAAAACATCATGATTCTGGATAGCCGCTTAGTTTAGACTGGAACAGGGAAAGTATTCAATCTTCAAGCGTTGTTGGTTGTGAAGTACTTTGGAACCTCATAGATCAAGACAATTTTTTTTTATTTCTTTTTACTCTAGAAGAGAAATTATATAAACACCCTTAAATTTTTTAATTCTTGTTCTTGTTCTGCTTTGCACTTGACAGAGACAATAATGGGTACTTTTCATGTCCTGCCATTTAAGCCTGTTGGTAAATCGCAGCTGGTTGTGCCATCCTAACAAGCATTGTTGTCTCACCTTTGTTGTTTGCCATTTCAGTTTTTGATGACTTGAATGGAGCAGTTGTGCGTTGCCTGCCTTTATTCTCTATTAGATGTGCTTCTTATCTATCTACGATAACCTTTCCCTATTCTGAATGACCTGCTGTAGATGATATGCTTCATGAATTGGAACTTACAATCAAGTAAACCTCTTTGGAGGGTTACTTGTGAATGAGGAATGGAATGTCTGAGTGAATGCATAGAGTTAAAGTTTATTACTACTTTAACACTCTTTAACAGAACTCTTCCTCTCTTTCCCTACTCTTCCTGTATACTATTTGTCAATAAGCTTACTATTCACCACTTGCTTGGCTATCCATAACTGTAGCATTGTTATCTGAGACAGATAGTCTATGCATTTTATCTCTAATGACTGCAGCAGGTATAACAGGCAATGGTCTGAATATTTATTGAGTCCATCGACAAATTTATGACATATAGAGCCATTGAATGAGATGCCTCTCCTTTAAATGGGGTCTTGACCCCTGTACCTTGCTTGGGCAATCATGTATCATTTTGCATACTATAGCCATTGATCTATAGCAAGTAGGAAGGATTCCATATCGAGGGAGATTTTGCTGTTATAGAACTCTTTGGGTAAACACACAAGGTTTTTTTTTCTTTCTTCTGGAACCCACCTCTATTGTTAGGTATTGCAGAAGAAGACTGCAGTTATGTCTCTCCATCTCTTCCTCAACTGGCCATGTGTTTTAGAGATTGTGTACACGCAAAAATACAGTCCATTATACGTATATACAACATTAATGCCAGAGGCTGCAAATATTCCAGGTAGCCGGTTTCCATTCTCGCATGCAGCCAACCACCACTGTAAGTAAGATTTTCCTACACTTATAAATACGACCCATGTCTCGTTTGTCTGCTTTCTCTTCATCTTCTTCTCACATTTCAATTCATGATGGGGAAATGGTAATACAGGTGGTGGTGGGAGTAAAGTTACAGGAGATCACTGCAGCTGCTATCTATCGCTATACACGAGTATTAATTGGTTTTTGTTTGGACGTGAGCAAAGGTAAGGGAACCACCACTACCAGCTGTATATACTGTGAAAAAAAAAGTTTAGATCTTTGGTGGTGGGGGCATAGTTATTTATCACAGTACTATGCATTACATTGAAATTCAATGTGGGTTTAGACCATATATATTTTTGTATGCATGGGAGGCAGTACATGTGACGAAACAAGCGATGCATCCGCTTTACATGAAAGACTACTGCTGCTACTACTAGTGTCAAATAGATGGAATGACTTTAAAGTTTTCCTCTGATCCGTTTTTGAAACTTTTCAATAAGTTTCTGGGATCCAAGTCCCATCGTCAGAAGCTGATGGAAGTTTCACCCACTGACAAGAAACATGGAGTGAAAAACACAAGTGATGGGTTGGTTTTTGGCTTCATGTTCATCATGCCCCTTGTTTGTGTTGCCGTGGATCTGATGATGTGTGATGAAAGCTTCTGCAGTTTTCATACACCTTATCGATACGCGGTTGACATATCATATCTTGGATCTAAAGGTTAGAACCTTATGAATGTTGTGTTGTATCATCTCCATATTACTACCACTGAGTCAACCCCTCAGGGTTTGCTGACATGTCATATCCCCGTTCTTTCATTGTCTTTGCTACTCATTGTTTATAGCCATAAACTGTCCAGACTTGTCATGCTCGTCGCTGGAAGGACGATTTGTTATCGGTAACTTACTTAGGTCGAGATTTTGTTAGGCATCTACTTCAGAGATACTTGTTTCATACGGGATGATATCGTATAATCTTCGGATGCCCGAGTCTTGACGAGATATTTTTAATACATTAGAGTGCTGCTATGGTCCTCTTCTCCTGCTGCCAGTGGAAGACCTTGCATGAGGTAAAAGGGTGGGAAAAGTACATGGTATCCATTTGGGCCAGACAAAGGCCATTGCTGATTGTTATTGATTGTGAAGGGGGAAGGAGACAGCTTCTTTGTTTTCTTTCCCCTTTTTTTCTTCGTTTCCTAGCTCTGGGTTTGCGTGATTGAATTATGTGAATGAGAAAGATGAGTCACCGCATCCATAATTGTGGGTTTATGGTATTGGCATCGGTCAGTTGAGACCACTTGTCCTGTTTGTACTCCATGACTGGTATCTTTCGATGTAAATGGTTTGCATAATTGCCAATCTAACGGTAAGTCGTGACAGAGAGAATGAGTTCAAAGTCGATTTTGGGTTCAACTAATTAAAAAGAGATGGGCAACTTACGCGGTTCGAGTTGGAATGACAACAAAGGCGTGACAATGCCTCGTTTTAGGTGTCGATTGATCGATCATACGCTTCATGAAACATCAGACAGAATTAGCAAGAGTGGCCACCCCATTCACCAATTTGGAAAAGGTGCAATAAATGAAACCTGCCTGCCATTCTGGTAATTGATGCCTAGAAATCATCATCGTTTAATCATGGATCTAAAAAGCTACAGCGTAAGATTCTGAACGCTGATATCTCTCCCTAGCTACCTGCTTAGGCTTACCTATAGCTTGTGTTTCGCTACCTACTTCGCCAAATTTGTACTTAAGTACTCGCAACACAGTTTTTGAACTAATGCTCTGCTCATTCATCCATCACAGGTCAGTCAGTGTTGTGTCCATGCCCTGTTTTTCTTTTGGAGGCTTTGCTTTCCCTTTCGGACATCTCCACGTCAATCGAATTCAAACCCCATGTTGAGAGTTGAGACGACGACGATGAAGACGATGATATAGCATGCAGCTGGCCCTGCAGAGAACTGCTGCTGCTCGTACGACAAGGTGAAATGTTTTTCCCCCTCTCCCTCTTATTGTTGCCTTTTATCCACTTTCTTGTTCAGGCCCTGAAAAAGGAAAGGTGAAGACAAAAACAGAGTAAAAGGAGGTGAAATCCGAGTTCCTTACTGTGGTGATGGATGATGATGATGATGACCGTTTATCTATCGCAAGTTTCCATGGATCATGTTCGACAAGAACCTGTGGTGGAGATATACGGAGAGTTGGGAAAAGGGTCGTTGAATTGAATCGATGGGTTATTCACCCTGGCGTGTAACGCAGAAGAAGGGTGAAGATTGAAACTTGAAAGGGTAACTCTCAGAAGGTCAAATTGAATCATTCGGATTCTCACAATGAGTAAAATGAAGACAAAAAAAAAACGAATTCACATCCAAGTACAAAATACGATATTCACATTACGTAAAAAAGCGTGTCTATTAGTCACCTCGATCGAAACCCATATAAGATACAAATTGAAGCAAATTGGCGTTACTCAGAAACTATAGATTTGCAAGATTTGATCCTGAAAGAAAGAGTCGATTTGACTCTTGAAAAGTCAAGTGCTAATTATGCTGAATATTTTCCTTCTTTTTTGTTCCGTTGTTCTGCCAACCAGCAGGAACCAAAAACCAAAATAATTATTGGCCTCTGGAAACAACGAGAGAGTACCAGCCAAGCCATTGACAAAACTCCCCCCCTCGTTCACTTGTTTTGTAGTATCAGCGGTACCACTAAAAATATCAACAGCCACTTCTGGCTATCTTTGTGTCGTGTACCCATTACAAGATAATACAAATTACAAAGTACAGAAATACTTTTAAATATCGGTAATGTTTATCTGATCCTGACTGCCACTACTACTTAATCGCACACAGTACTTTGGTCTCCTGCCGCCACAATTAAAAAGCTTAAAGATTGTGATTTTGCAGTCCTAGTCCTTATGAATCAGTCCATCATTTAAAAAATGTTCTTACAGTAATTTCTTATACGGTCGTTAAACAGGAGCTGGTTTCTAAACTTACAATTTGTATACGTCCGTTAATAACTCATGCTTAAATCAATGATTAGAGATAAAAGAGTTGTGAGAATTCGAAAACAAAAACTATCCGACACCGTAACGTGCTCAAATGTGTGTTAATGATTAAGATCTCCCATACTGTGCTCATAAGTATGGGTACTTTTGTTTGAAAACAAAAAACAAAATTTACATGGTACAAAACCAATAGCATTAGTTAAGACGTCCCTATTAAGAGACAAAAAGGTGACACTGAGAGATTAGACAGTAAAAAAAAGAAAAGCCTAAGATTGCTGCCATATCCCATTATCAAATAATTAATTCGTCCAAAGATCCACAGGAGATCCTGAGACATATTTTTTTAATTATAAACGTAAACTGATTAGGAAACAGGGAGCTAGCCATTAGCCCACTAGTGGGACATGCAAATTTCTACGTCGGCATGGGGAAATAATTGGTGCCCAGAACCAGGGATGAGAGACTCCAGAGAAGGAGCAAATCGGTCAATTCGAAACACAGTTCATTAATACTGAAGAAGAGGTGAAAAGCTTTTCATTGTTAACATGTTTCCACTGGTTGGCTTCCATTATTTGGTGTTGAGTTGGTGGGATGGGATGGATGGATGTTGCATGGTGGTGGTGGCAATCCCAACTTGCGAGCAAAGTTGATCTCGGGTCGACCGGGTCGGTCGATTTAGTCGAATCGTGAGATGAGTATACGCGGTCGAACTCGTACTATTATGTTTGGAAAATAGATAAGTGTTGATGATCACCACTTCAACCCTTCTTATAATCAACAAGAAAGCAAACGACTTTGCTGAGAATCTCTGGACTGAGATCAAATTAGGTTACTTCTGCTAAGCATCCGAAACGATTATATGATCGGTTGATGCACGAGTGGCCAGGATTGTGCAATGGTAGCATTCAGCAAAAGGGGTGGTGGGACAGAGCGACCCATTTCCCCGTCCAGTTGGCCCGAATGCGGTCTCCCTCTGCCCTGCCCTTACCTTTCCTACTCTGCTTATAAACTGTTGCCTCTGTTCCAATGCCCAATTGAGAAATTGCTAAAAACAAATCACTACCCACCAACGAACTTCTTTCCCTTTTATCAGATTTAGCCCTTCTTTCTTCTCCGTCTTCGTCTTCTTCATTTCCCACTGATAACAACACTGCCACTACTGTTACTGGGTTACTACAAGTAGTAGCTTTGCCCATCATTGCCCCCCAACACCTCTATTTAGCTCCTTCCTAGTCCCTTTCTCCATTTGTCGATCACCATCCAACGACAAGTTTGATTTCCCCACTGCCCTTTCTATCTCTGTGTAACATTGGTCACTACCCATTACGTGCTTCGTCTTCCTTTTCCCTTTCTTGGCTTGCATAAAACCTGTTCGACGAAATGCCTCAACCACGACGAAATACAGAGCAGGAAAGCAGCTCCAACTCTTTCTCATTCTCATACTCCTCTTCGCCTCCGCCGCCTTCCCCAATTAAACAACAACACCTGCGGCAGAGGAATTCCCAGCGGCAGGAGCAGGATAATCACGACGATGGAGACTCGCCGGAATCTTCCAGCAAGAAGATGAAGCGGATACGGGACTGCAGCAAGCACCCGGTGTACAGGGGAGTCCGGATGCGGAGCTGGGGGAAATGGGTATCCGAAATCCGGGAGCCCCGCAAGAAGTCGAGGATCTGGCTGGGCACTTTCCCCACCCCTGAAATGGCGGCGCGCGCACACGACGTGGCGGCGCTCTGCATCAAGGGCAGCTCCGCCATCCTCAATTTCCCCGACCTCGTCAGCTCCCTGCCCCGGCCCGCCTCCGTCGCGCCGCGGGACGTCCAGGCAGCGGCGACCAAGGCCGCCCTGATGGACGAGTTCGACGGGAAGCGGATGACGGACGAAGATTTCACCTCCTCCGCCGCCGTGGCGGCGTCGGCGTCGGCATCTTCGCTGTCGTCGATGGCAGAGGAGGATGAGGAGGGGTTGAGCGAGATTATCGAGCTGCCGATACTGGGCGATTTGGGGGGCGAGCTGAAGAGCGAGTTCGTTTTTGTTGACTCGGTGGCGGACGGGTGGCTGTACCCGCCGCTGTGGGCGCCGGACGACGGTGGTTGCGGCGGTGGTGGTACGGCGGGTAGGTATGTTTGTGGTGGTGACGGGAACGGATTTGGGGATGGATTGTTTTGTAATTACTATTAAAAATAATAAAAACACCAAAAAAAAAAGAGTAATGGTGTTTGCTGTGACGTGTCCCTGTGAGAATGTCGCTATCGACGGCCTTTTTTCCCCTTTTATTATTTTCTTTTTTGTTACTGTC